ATGGGGAATCCATGGCTCCATGATACTGCGAGTGCGAAGGACCTTGGCCTGGCCGTAGATCCAGAGGCTGAATCTGAGTGCACACTATGATGTGCCTGCAAAAAGGGCAAATGCTATTTTGGGCGGCATTAATGGAAGGATTGCATCCAAACCCCTTTAATTCCCCTTTACTGGTTAGGCCTCATCTGGAGTCCTGCATCCCATTCTGGGCATCACAGTTTAAGACAAGCTGGGAAGGGTTCAGAGGAGGGCAGCGCAGATGATCCAGGGACTGGAAACAAACCCAGTGAGGAGTGAGTGAAAGAACTGGACAAGAAGGATTTAGCCTGGAGAAGAGAAGACTGAGGTAGATAGAACAGAACTCAAGTACTTGAAAAGCTGTCACAGAGGAAGGCCAGGATCCCTTCTCGATCGTCCCAGAGTGCAAGACACAGAATAATGGGCTCAAGTTACGGGAAGCCAGGTTCCAGCTGGACATCAGGAAGATCTTCCTGACTGTTGGAGCAGTACGAGAATGGAGCCAATGACCTGGAGAGGTGGCAGGCTCTTTCACTCTGGAGGCGTCCAAGATGCAACTGGGCAGCCTTCTGAGAGGGATGGTTGAACTTGGAGACCTGCCTTGAGCAGGGCGTTGGACCTGGTGGCCTTCTTGGCCGCTTCCCAACTCTGCTATTCTGTGATTCCATGATTTATGAACGTACTAAGTTTCCCAGTAGCTGCCACCTCACTCAAATTCTCAGATATGCCCATGAGCCCAAAACTATAACGTGTATCTGCCGGGAGTGTGTCAGCCCTTTTGTTGAAGAACAAATTAAGTAAGCTAATAGAAAATCCACAGACAGAGGGATATGGTGCAGGCTTTATTAGGAAATACTGGGCAGTGCTAGAGGGGCGACTCTTCCCCGGGCAACTCCACAGAGAGAGGTCCATTGACCTCGTACAGAGATTGCCACGTGTATTAAGAACACACGTTTCTCGCTTGCAGTTTGTCACTGCCTTGTGATCTTGCGATGTCATTTTGGCTGATTCCCACAATGCAAAGCATGTCAGCACTTTAAACTCCTTTTTTACCTCTTCTATTTCTTCATTTGCTGCTCTTGCAACTGCTGCTTTTGGCCGAAGGATGTGCAGCCCGGCTGGCACTGAAACCTTTGCCAATTTTTTCCTTGCTGCTTTGAATGTTGTTTCCACACTCTTTTGTGTACAGGGGGAACGGTCCATCTGTCGAAAAAGGAAGGTCATAGTATTCTGCTGCTGACGTTCCCTCTGCTGCATGCAAAAGCTTTTGCTTCATGCAGTCTTAAAAGACAGAGGAAAGCGTCTTGGAGTCCAGGTGCACAGGGGGCTGCTTGGGAAGGCAGTAGGGATAAGCTGCACGATAGCAGACGTTTCCCAAAAAAATTTGGCAGAGTCTCTCACCAAAGGAGTCAGCTTAACAGTGACAAAACAAGCACAGGCCTTATGGTGGATCAGTTAGCATTAAAGAACAGGAAACAGAAAGCAGGAATCAAGGGACGATTCTCCAGTGGAAGGACAGGAGAGCAATGCACAGATTTCATTAAATCCACCCTCTTTTACATGGCTGGTCAGGCCTTCCAAATCACATTATTTCCTCAATGTTCAAACTGGAGTTTTTTGCATGAGAATATAATTGACTCACTAATGTGCCTTTGCACTAATGTTTGCTGATACAAACATGCTCTTTATTCATTGCATTCCAAAGGTGCCCAAAACCCAATCCCCTCCTCACAAGATCAGACCTTTTCCCCTTCTCCTGGGCAAACAGCAATGCGTCTAGGCACATTCGAAGTCCACATCTGGGAAAAGAACGGAGTCAAAACCATGATGCTTATAGTTTATGTATGATAGAACTGTAATTAATAATTAGCAAGCTCTTGATACATACACTCAGAAGATACGATGACAGAACAATCATCTTCCAGCTTTATGAATTGGGAGAAGAAACGTCAGTGTCCACTCCAAACCTTGTGCTGGTGTCGTGTGGCGCTTCGTGACAAAGCAGGTTGTTAGGCGTCGTTAGTGAGAACCACCCAAGCTGTTCCATCGCTGTGCCAACAGAAATTCAATTTCCGAACCAGAGGCAGACAGCTCTGTGCTCAGTAACTGATGAAGAGCCTTAGAATTAATGCACATGTTCCGTTTTTGCATAATTTGCTCGGTTTGTTGTTTGTTCTTTTGCCCTGAACACAGTATTAAGTTTTGCGTCAGAGGGCATATTTTTGGTTAACAGCAAGTGTGATGGCAGAAAGAGTCTAGGCAAGCCCATTGTACAAATGTTATGGGAATAAAGGACCATCTGTGGGGTGAGGAATGATGGCAGACGAGCTGAACCTCCGGGCCTCGTGCACTTAAAGTTACATAATGGCACTGCACATAAATAAAGCCGAAGTGTGCAAACGTAGGAATCTGCTCTTGATGCCACACTGGCGGATCATGGCAACCTCCGGGCATTTAAGTCACAGCAGGCGGGTTCTTGCCCGCAGAAAACCCAAGAGGCGGTTGGGCCCCCCATGGGTTGCCCAGCCCCCCTTTCCCCAGTCCCCCCAGGGGACCAGCCTGCCTCCCACCATGATGGCGAGCACCCTTTGGCTCGCTTTGGCTCTTGCTCCCTTCAACTGCTGTTTTTCAGTCAAGATCTCTGGTTGCCCAGCCCATTTTTGTGGCCTCTGTTTGGACAGCCAGTGGCAGCCCTTTAAAGACCCAAGCAACAGACCGGAGGGCCTGCTAATAGGCAACCTTTAAAAAACTGTGCCTTCAATAGCTGCAAATATTTGCATTCTCTGAAAAAAAGAAGAAGAAGAAGTTTTAGGCACACTCGTGCGATGAAGGGGCCTGTAGCACGACCGCTAAAACGGGAAGCCCTGCAGGGCAAGAGCTTCAGGTATCCGTTGCCAAAGACCCCCGGGTGATCGCCTTGACCATCCACCCAGATGTAGGATTTTCTCTCCCCCTTAAAGACAGGGGTTTTTTCCTGCTGACGTGCTCCGTAACTTGTCAGTGATTGCACGGCCTCCGCTCACCCGGACAAGGACATTTCCTGTTTCGAACAGTGAGGAGTCGGCACTATGCGGAAGTGCGCGGCAAGGTGAGCCCTCTCGCTGCACCTCCCGCAAACGGCGCTGGGACGCGCACGCTAACGAGGGGACTGGGTCGTCAGCGACACGCCTCTTCCCAGTCCCATCTGCCACCGCTGGCAGCCACACACACACGGGCATGTCCGGTCCGGCACATTGCTAAAAGGCATGTCCACCTCCCACAACAAGCACATCTGTTAGCCTGAGAGCAACTCGTTGAGCAGAGGAAACTCAGAGCAGATGCATATTCCGAGCAGAATCAGCGTGGTGGAACTCCGTCCGCCCGTTCTTGCCCCAAGGCTGCCTAGTGTTCTGTACCACTGAGAGCGCACCAGCTATTAGGCTGCAATGGAAGAGCACTAAGTAAGTCAACAGCACCTTCACTCTTCCTGCTACTTTTCCTCACACGGAGAACAAGAAATATGAGCTCGACCCACGGCGTGTCACTGCCTCAGAGGTACCTTATCCCAAATAGATCTGGGAGCCGCGAGCGGACGGACGCTGTGGCTGGTTTCTCAGTAGCGTTGCCCATCCTGCATTTGTGGCGAGGGCCCTGGCAAAGTGAAAGATTTCTTCTCGATTTTTGCAATGTGGAACTAACGCGTCGCGGTAGTATTTCTCTCTCTCGGGTGGAAATAAATATATTTGAGAACGGGTGGTTCCCATAGTTCCATCGCAGTAGGAGTCCAATAAAATAGATCTATGTAGCGCTAGCAGATGGCCAAGAGAGGTGGGGGATACTAAGTGCCCCTGGAGCTCTTTTCCGGCATGGCACGTGTTCCGCAGTTAAATAGGTTTCGGCTTCCAAATTGCATGTTGGAAAAATAAAGAATGAAAGCACCCCCACCCACTACCTGTGGGTTCTCCACTGCCATCTGGCTTCATTTAATCAGACGTGTCTTACCGGGTAGAAGATTCCACTGCCATTGCCCCCCACTCAGTCTCCCCCATACAATGTGCTCCTTTTCAAACCAGGAAAGCATCGCTTCGCTCGCCTTGTTCCAGAAAGGAACGAGGTGAGTGAATTGATATACTGAGATATCAGAAAAAGCTGCTTTATAGCATTCTAATACTGAAATGCTCACAGTATGTGAAAGGAATATCAGGCAACAAGAAGCTCTGCATTTATTTCACAAGGGGAAAGACGCAGCCAACGCAATGTCTAGGCAACTTGCACTCTGCAACTTTGTGGAGCAGAACCCCAGTCTTGATTGAGATGAACAAGCAGGGTAGAAACCTGTTGAACAAACGTTCCAGAATTCCCCTTTTTGTCCAGTTTACGGAATTTTTCAGAGACCCACATATGTCTAGAATCTCCTCTGTCACTTTAGGTTTCCTTAGCTCTATTCACATCACCATCATTCTTCAACGTAGCCCAGAACGTTAAGGAACAGAACAAAATAATTTCCGATCAAGATTTTAGCTAAACGAGGCTTTATCTTTCAGGGGCGCCTTATAGAGTTGAGGTTGTCCTCTTTATGGAACCTAGGCACTGTTCAGTTCCAGAACACGGAGACTGAAGCCAATTTCTAGAAGAGATTCAGGGCTGGTGTTACTTTTCTAGGTTTCTCCTAGGAAATGTGGCAGTTTTGCCCAACCTGGCAACCTCCAGATGCCTTTAACTAGAGTTTCCAGCATTCCTGGCTGTTGTCTAAGCTGGCTGGGGCTAATAGGTGTAGAGGTTCCTACCATGTGGAGGCTGCCAGATTGGGGAAGCCCATATATGACAACAAAGCAAATGGAATCGCTACACTCCAGGGGTGAAAAAGTCCACACTTCGAGAGTGCTGTAGGGTTTGTACAATGGGGGAGAGGCTGGGATCACAGAAGAGCTTGCAAAAGTCCTATTTATTGAAAAAAATTATATATTTGCTATAAAATCTGTAACAGTAATGTAACTGGATACTTAACTTTGGAAGCAATAACCCCGAATGTGCCATACCAAATACAACAGAGTAACACTGCCTTCCTCTTTATTTACATGTTTATGAAAATCAATATACAATCCATGTTAAATGAACTAAGAATGGAGAATAGTTACATTAGAAAAATAATATTCTGGATAAAGCATTCTCAAGGAATTCAGTCACATTTTTCAGGCCTCTAAGCAATAAGGCAGAAGTCCCTGGTACAGCAGATAACTTAATTTACAAAATGCAACAACGGTTGAGACACCCGCTCGAGCTTGCTTTTGCTATGCTTTCTCTCACTGTGAACTCACTTTTGTCTTTTTACGAAACAGAAAGACTCTCAGGAATGGGACTTGAGGAAGATCTACTACATATTACATATTACATTGCAGAGCTCAGCAACTGGAAATTATTCCTACCTGCTCGGTGAGCTAAGTTCAGAAGGAGCAGATTTTAAAAAATGACACCATTGGGATGGCAGCATCTCGCTTGGGTTTTCACCGGAAACACATCCATCACTTTCCAGAAGGTGCCCCCTGTCCTTTTCATTTTGGGACTGGCACACAACGACATTTTCACAAGAGGACACCACAAATGCAACTAAAACCAGGCTTGGAGTGCATATGCCAAACCTCCCTTTAATACTTGGACTAGCCCTTCCTGTCAAGCCCACAAGCACCTTCCTCCACGCAGCCCCACCACAATCCACAGTCAGGTCGTTTTAATTCCCTCAAAGGCACAGAATTTCCACCTCTTCTCCAGCGTGGCTCCTACACCGGAAAACTCCTGCTTGAACATGTGTGGAAGCCTCATTAAAAGCATCTCGATTTCATTTGCAGAGATCTAGGAAAGGGTGAGAAAGAAAAGCATAGCAAATGACTTTTCTGTGAACCCAGGCCTGGTTGACCAAGGGCCAGATTCCATGATGAAGAAACCCCAGGCAGTCGCAATCCAGGAGTGGTTTGGGCCGAAGGCAAAGCAGCTTTCAAAATACTGGCCGAGTTTAGCTTAAATGTCTTATGCTCCTGAGTATGGCTGAACTTAATATATTCTGAACTAAATAAGCCAATCATGCGTCCAGACGTCGGCCCTCAGAAGTGGTCCTTCTGCCTTTTGGAACGGGGGAAACTGCACACACCTGGGGAATCACCCACCAATCAGCGGTCAGGGAAAAGGAATGGGGTGCGGCATGCTGGGGAACTCTAGAGGGCCCAGCGTTGGCTTTAGGCTTGAAGGCTGCTGCCTTCAAGGTCCCCTGGAAAGCTGCCATTCTAATCAAGTAGCTTCATTATGCAGAGCTGCAGGCAGGCAGGCCCGGGCGCTAGACTCCCAGGTAGTCTGGGAAGACAAAGATCCAGCAAGCCTGCTATAATATAGCATCGCTGAGGTCTTGTGGAAGAAGAGCTCTTTCGTGAAAGAAAGTTGGTGCAACACCAACGCTGACCACTCCAGCTGAGCCCTGCCCTCAGAAGCAGTTTTCCCACAGGAGGGTCTCTCTGGCCACCATTTTTGTAGAGTGCCGCGTTACGTGACGTGGCGCCTGCCATTTCAGCCGACGTTTCACCCTTGGACCGAATTCCCACCCTCTCCTCTTCGTTGGGAGCCTGCACTCCCACCATGTCGAAGGGCCGTGCGTCCACAATTGGATGGCCTCCTCTCTCACCCCTGCTCTCCCTCAGTGCTTCAGTGGCACCTCTGCTGGCTCTGAAGCAGCTCCCAGGCCTTTGTGAAGAGCATCCACAGCGGTTCTAGCCGTGCCCGCGGCATGATGCTGCCAGTGAAGGACGTCTCTGGGGTTTCACCCAGAGACGTCAGTCCAGATTTTCGGAGCCGGGCTCAGAGGACAGCTTGGAGGGGTCCTAAGCCACTTCTAGGAAGAAGCAAGCTTCCCAAACCTCACATTCATCCGTAGGTCAGATTAAAATAATTGCAGTAGCTCTTGGGAGCCCACAAGTCCCAAAGACCAGTCCTTGACTGGGAAGGAGACAGGCGTCTGCCTTCCTTTCTCCCAGCATGCCTTACTGACTGCAAAGGGCAGGTCAAAAAAGGGGCGGAGGAAGGATTGCTTAGGAGAATGCAGGTCGGCCCAGGCAAGAGGGTTACGTTTTTGGGCCTCAGACTGGCTTGGATTTTTTTTTTTTAAAGGAAGGGTTTGTGTTTCCAGATGGCGACTTGTCCACACAAGGTCCTTCCTGACCACAACCAACAGTACTGATTTACCTTGGAGTCCAGCTGCTGCATGTAAGACCAAAGATATTCTATATTAGCTCCAAAAGGATGGACATGAAGAAACGTTGATATGATACCTGTGTTAAAACATACAAAACACGAACATTTGCTTGGGCAGAGCAGAAAATGCCACAACAAAGGAATGCTTACGATGGTCACGGTTTGCTTTTCAGCCAAAGCATACCTCATCTATTTCTAAAACGATTCAGCAAGAAGAGAACATTTAAACACAGAGACTCGCTTTCAGGAGGGACAGAACTGTGTAACCAAGTGACCAAGATGAAGAGAGAGATTTTAAAACAAAGATTCGCTGGGAGCATTTGTTTCAGCTCCCAATTTTATGCTTGATTTGCCAATAAAAATTGTAGGCATTGAGTTGATAAAAACTGGGCTTTTTTTTTCTCCTTCAGTGGCTCTTGTCATGAAAATGTTGAATATCAACTACATCCAAACTTGCACAGCCTTGACTTTTGTAATAATTTCAGCATGGATTGAGTTTAATCCTGATTAGTGAGCAAGCAAAAATGCATTTTCCCAGGCATCTTTGTATATTTTTCCATTTAAAAGCCAGCTGCAATCCCAGGCAAAAAACAGGAACTGTCGCCCTTCGGAGAAAGGCTGGTTCTGTGCCTTTCTAGCCACTTGCTTCTCTCCCTCTGTTCCCCTCCAAGATGCACATTATGCAGCTTCCACATCAAATGATTCCTGCAGAATGAGAGGCAAAGCTCGTTCAGCACGATTCTAGTTATGCTACTGCTATCCTTCGGTATCTGAACCAGCACGGCTGCAGTTCCAGGATTCTCGCACATTTGTTTCTGTGCTCCAATGCACATTTCTGACTCTCTAACCCAATCTAGCTTCCTCATTTTGCCTGTTCTTGCTCTCCTTGGTTCTAAACAGTTGAGGGTACAGGAAGGGATATTACATGGGTGAGCCGGTGAGGAAAGGCTTCTCTGTTGAGGACGTCGGACACCTGGACCGAGTCCAGGTTTGGCAGTGGTGGAACTTTCCCTCATTCGTGACAGAGAGGGAGAGAACACCCAGGGGGAGTTTCTCCCCAGCAGAAGAAAGGCCTCTGAGGCATTTCGGCGTGGGCGTTTTCCTGCTTCCCCCACAGTTGCATGAAGGATGCCCACGTTGCCACATGAGTGGAGAAGCCAGCTTTGCATCCCTCTGGCTGAGCCAAACAGCATGACTTTCACAGTTCTGTTTATATCTGGCCGGGGGCGTCTGGCCAGCTCACCCCTCCGAGTAAGTACCTTTAGATGCATGTCCACCTGCATTAACATTGCCTGCAGGCTCTTGTGCTCCAGTATGTGGGAGAGACAGAAGGACACAGTAATTCTTTTTATGCTACAGAGAGGGCATCATATAACAGAGGACCAGGCTGGGTGGCCAAGTCTCCACTTTACAGAGGACTGTCCTCTGTTGGAAGAGTTGTCCTCTCCAAGACCAGAGAAAAGGTAAAGAACCATAAAATGGAAGTTCTGCACGACCCTTGAAGATGCCCATTCACGGCTGGCATCTTGCCAGCAGGGAGCACACAACGAGGCTCCTTGCAACCAGCTTCCCTACGAAAGCAAGAAAAATTGAGTTCCTATTTTGCTTTATGCACTGTTGTAAACCACCCAGAGAGCTTCAGCCAGGGGTGGTATAGGAATGAAACAAAATGGATCAATAGATAAATAGTATTTAGATTGTAGCAATCCTTTCTAACACACATCCATTAACATATGCAGATGTTAGATGAATCTGCATCCTCATTTGTCCTTTTCTCTGGTGACATATCACCCGTTTTTGGGTCGCCATACATGGATGCTCGTTCAGTAGAAGACCTGAAAATCATCGCTGTGCCTGGTGGGTGTGAAAAGATGCCTCTGTTGCTGGAATTGCAGCTCAAGAGATGGCACGGCAATCCCCCCCCCCCTTCCCCTGCCCTCTTCCGATGCATTCAGGTGCGAAAATTGCAACTGGATCAGAATTCTGTTAAAATAGCAACTCCATTCTACAATTTGGAGCATGCTGTTCTTCCTCGGGAGACTTAATCTCTGGGACAGAAGGATGTCAGGGCACAAAATTCAAATGTGTTCAAAATCTTCACCATCCCAGAAAATAGGCTTTTCGGCACCGCTGAGAATTTCGCCATCCCCCAAGACGCCCAAGTCTGTCCCCACCAAAACTGAACAGAGGCTCTTGTGGGTGCGTCCAAAATTCTGGCAACAGTATTGTGTGAACTGGGCATTAGAACCAATCCACAAGGCCACTGTTGTGATGCTTCCATGGATTATACGGTTTGCACTGCAAGAAAACAGGATCCACCAGAACAAACTATACCCCGTCAGTAGCACTTTCTTCAGCTCTCACCCACTGAAATGCAGAATAATTTCAAGACCGCTTAATCTTACATAACGACCTCTTGTTTGCCACAGGTGATGTTGCGATTAGAAATGGAGCATGGAGGGTTTCCTTACCTATCAACAGTGCTTCTTTCTCTGATTTTAGTGGTTGGCTTCGCTTCTCCAATTTTTTTTCTCTGTCTTGGTTGACCAATGGTACTGTCAACACATTGATTTCCTATAAGGTTTGAAAACAAAACTAAATAAAACAGGTGCTTATGTAGAATTTATCCATTTCAGTATATATTGCTGGCATTCTTCATCTCTATAAGAAAGATCATTACTTTAATTTACAGCTACAGGCAAGACAATTATAAATTATTGATCTGTGTCCAATAGTACTCTCTATTCCGAACTGCAAAAAAGGGAGGGAGTTAGATTGGTCTTTTCCCCGTCTTTAAAGGAAATGGCTGAGGCTGGTTTGGATTGCGCAATAAAGAAGAGGCTGCTGAAGGGTCTGTCATTTTCCCCAACAGACTAGGCCAACTTTTGACACCCCCCGTTACTGAATGGTTTCTGCACCAAGACAAATACACACAGCGCAGTCCAAGAGCAGATGCCTTTCCCGTGTTTCATTGTCTGCTTCTACGTAGGGGAAAAAATACCGGCAGGGCTTATTCCATCTGCTGTTCTGTGCAGGACATCACCTGCTACACAACACTACATAGCACTCTTCCACGTAAAGCAGACCACCCCACTGTGACCTCTCGGGCTTGCAAAGCTTTGCGCCTGCCCAGCGGGCAACGCCTCTCTTGCGCCAACTCCGGCAAGGGATTCGGCTCGGCAGCTGCTTCCAGACCAAGGTGAGGCCCTGGAAAGGTGCGCGAAGGACGGGTGCAGGGGGCACGGATGCACCCAGAATGCGAACGCTCACCTGACTGGAAGAATTCCTGTGGAAGTAAGAATGTATGGATTTACGACTCAACACATGGAAGCGAGATGGGCTGGAAATGCACTGAGCTCTCTGTCCTTAGTTTGTTGTTGCTACTCTTCGCTTGAGCGGGGGCGGGGAGCACACCTTCCTTAGCTGCTGCACAGGGTTCGGGTTAGCACAAGAGTTGTGAGCCCTGCGGTTCCCAGGGCACGTCTCCCCTGCCACAAAGTCACGAGGTAGCCTTGGGCAAGCTGGTGTTTTTGCGGCCTCAACACAGCGGATGTATTGATCCTTATCTACTGCACAGGGTTATTCGAATTCCTGGACAAAAAGAAAGGCTGGTGCTAGATGCAGGATCCACTCAGTCCCGTACCTCAGCAACATGCCTAGGGATTTTGCAATCGACATGCGGGGGGTTAAACGACTTCTGAGAAGGTCCAAACAGCCTGTGTCCACCTTGCAAAGGTGGAAGAGCCGCTATGCATGGCGGTGCAGAGTTCAGCTTGGTGACGGCAGGTTCCGAAGCAGGGATGCGGAAGGGCTTTTCAGTGGGGGACCTGGATGGCTCCTGTGGGTAGGGAAGCCCACATTCAGGGAAGCCAAGCCAGACCAGACTGGTCGATCCTCTGATGGGGAGCAGGGGGATACTGGAATACTATACACCTGGAATACGGTGTCCTGTTCCGGCACCAAGATTTAAGAAAGATGCAGGTAAATGAGAAAGGGTCCAGGGTTTGGAAACACGGCCCTGGGAGGAGAGACTGGGAACTGGGCATGTCTAGCCTTGAGAGGGGAACATGATATCCCTCCATAAGTGCCTCAAAGGCCGTCACAAAGAGGGAGGTCAAGATCTCTTCTTGCTGATGCCCAAGTGTAGGACACGGAATAATCAGTTCAAGCTGTGGCAACCCAGATTCAGGCTGGACATCAGGAGAAGCTTCCTCACAGCCAGAGCAATAGGGCAGTGGAACCAGCTGCCCGGAGAGGCAGTGGGTTCTCCCACACTGGAGACTTTCAAGGTGAAAGTGGACAGTCACCCAAGCAGGATGGTGTGACTTGGTGTCCTGCAGCAGCAGGGGGTTGGACCTGATGGCCTTCATGGCCCTTCCAACTCTACTATTCTATGATTCTTTGATTCTAGGAGAGGCACTTGGGTGAGGGTCCCCCGATCTCTGTCCGCCCTGCCTCCACCTCCCATCAGGGGAATCAGGTGGGGCGGGCTAGGAGGAGGGCCTCGCCCACAAGTGGGGAGAGCGGTCACTTCCCTCGCTGCCTGCTGTCCATCAACGCAACGTCCATTTCCAGTCGATGCGGCTGCTCTCTGTGCCGCTTCCTCCTGCTGCACTGCCGGGCTTGCGATCTCCAGCCTGCACCCAGCATGGGGATTGCCACTGTTCCCAGATGTAATGGAGCAGTGAGGAGACTCACACAGCGGGGTGGCTTGGCGCAGGCGGGGTGGACTGGCATGCTCCAGATCAGGCTGCACCAGGCCCGCAGGCCAGAGGTTCCACAGCCAGGCTGCACTGCTCCTCCAGCGAAGAAGGCGTGGGGGGAAAGGCATTACTTCCGCCTTCTCAATGCATTTCATCCCTGGGTCCAAATGATGGGAGAAACCAGGCTTAGAGAGCTCAGCTGATTAGGAATGGATGTCGGGATAATCCAGTCACGCCCGAAAAATACATCCGACCTTTCCACCAACCAGTCTTCAAGGCAGGCACAGTCAGGCTGTTGGAGAGAAGATGCCTGGGGTGGCAGGGAAGGGCTTCCACACCGCTGTCCTCCCCAAGACACGGGGGGGGGGGTCTTGATGAGAACTCCGCCTCGGGGAGACATTGTACTTGCTTTGCAGAGAGAGATCAGATGGTTTCTTAATGCATGGCCAGCCATAAGAGTTTATAAAAATTATGTAATGAGAAACTCTTGGCACGTTCCGCATGGCCGCATTTCCAGACACAAATCAAATGCCTTTACTTGTTTAAAAGGAAAGCAGACAGAGAAGCTGGAAGAGTGAAGGGGGGAGAACAGTCCCGAGGAGGGCTCTTCGTGTCCGGAACGGGGACGGCTGTTGCTGAAGAAGCGGCGCCCAAGCAGGAAGGCACGCTGCCAGCGTGGGCTCCTACGACCCAGAGCAGGTCGCCTCTGCAGACGTCTTTCACACTCCCTTTCGCCGGTGAAAACAGCATTTTCTAATATTCTGAAATGTGTTGTTAGAATTACTAAAATGACAGCCTGAACCAGTGAAGGGTTCTGGCCCCAGGAAGCATGTGGAATTGCAGGAAAACCGGCCTGGAGCTCTCCGTGGCCTCGCGGGGCTGGAGGAGGCCCATGCTGGATCCCGCAGCTGAATCCCACGGCAGCGCTGGCCATGACGGGAAAGGCTGGCCAGAGGCGGGCCACCCATCACGCCCTGCTCTTCCGGGCACCTGGCCGCTCCTTGTTCAGACAGAGGCTGCATCGCAAGAGGGGTCCCTGGCTGTCCCAGGCTGGCTTTCGCCTGTGCGTGTGGCCTGGAGCCATTCCTAGCAGCACTCACCAGGGCATGCTGGGAGAAGGCGGCTGGGTGAGGTGGCCCACCAGGCCAAGCCCCAGCTGACGGGCATCCCGGCTGCCCGGCCCCCTGATCAGGAGAAGGCAGGTGGTCAGGAGGCGTAGGCTGGACACCTGGGCGCCCACCTTCGCAGTCTGCTGTAGCTTCTTCACTCTGCCTCTGACAGGGCCGGCCCTGACCGGCATCTGCCGAAACGAAAGATGGGTCAGTGCAAAAGCAGTGGAACAGGCTGCTTCCTCAGCTTGCTGCTTCCAAGTTTTGCCCTTTTGAATGGGGAGGATGGATAAATCCAGGGCTTTTTTTGTCACAGAACGCACAGGAATGAAATTCTGGCACCTTTTTTCGACAGATTTTCCACGTTTTAAAAGTAACTTCTGAAAATTTGATGTTTGGTCCACGTGGATTTGAATCGCCCTGTCGAGCGTAGCAGGTCGGCAGCAAAATCATTAAAACGGTGCATGCGGGCTGCTTGTGTGTCGAGTCCGATGCACGTGTGCTTCGGCCACACTGGTTGTGATGGCGCTGCTCGGCTTGTGATTGGTCGTGTGGTCGCGCGCTGAGTGCTTACTGCAGACGGCGACCATTATGTTTTGTTACACAACTGACATGTGTGGGTGTGTGTACAGTGATTGACTACGTGCGAAAGGTAAATGATTTCATGAGTTTCAGCACCTTTTTTCTTACAAAAAAAGCACTGAATAAATCTGATGCCTGCGGGGCACCCTTTCCAATCCCACCATGCCCAAAGAAGCCATGTTTGTAAATACTTTTGCTGCCTGTGAAAATTTTAATACTTTCTCTGTGTGAAAAGCATGCTCAGATAAACCTTTTCATGTGACACAGGGTCCAAACAATTTTTTGTCCATTTCTCAGCATCTATGACCTGCAATCGGATTCTTTCACGGTGTCTACAGGCAGCTACTTGAAAATGGAGGTCAAAGAGCCAGTGTTTTGACGTGAGAATGACAGCTTTGTGAAGGTCATCAGGATCAAACGCCTATGCCGTCCTCAGCCCTGGGACCTGTAAAGTTTTGAATGCACCCGGCAGCCATTTCCACGCATGGCCACCCACCACTGGGGTTGCAAGTGCAAAGCTCTTAAAAAGGAAAGAGAAACTGTGGGAATCGGTTAACTGTAAATGGGAGAAACCAGGAGAATGGACCCCATTCACCCAGCACCTCCTGCTAGAGCAGCTCCCCTCCAAACAGCCAATCCATCGAGGTCTTTTCAAAAGGTTTTTCCGCTTGTTGTTGGAAGCCCTCCCCTGCAGTCTCAATCCAGAAAAGATGAATCGTGCCTGGTCCCAGCGGAATCAAAGGCTCATGCTAAGCTTGTGTGGCTCACTTCAGCGGCATTGATTTCAACCGGACTCGAGAGAGTCTCGCCCTCCTTGGGGCTCCAGTATTTATGCATGCTGGACAGCTGTCTCCTGGAGACAGACAAAACGGATATCACATTGTCCTCGGTGCAGGATAAATGGAGTCATCTAAAAATGGCAGGCAACATCGTTTCCTGGGCAAACGTAGAATCATATCTAGCGCTGAAACCTTTAAGTGCTGTAAAGCAGAGGCAGGGATGGGGAATTCAGCCATTTGTCCCTGACAATTGGCTGAGCATGAAGAATATCCTAATGAGGTTTGTAGATGTACCCAGAAGGAAAAAATACATCTTAATTAATGGCATTGATCTTCTGCCTGCAGAAAAAACCGCAGGACAAAGTTGGCCACGTGGAGGGTGACGTTCTCTAAACAAGGAA